TCCCTCTGCCTAACACCTCTGCCTGCCTGCCTGATTGCCCCTACCTTGCTCCCCTGCCAGCCTGATCAACCCTAACCACCTGTGCCTTGACCCCCGGCCTAAGCCACAGTCTGGCCTCCCTCTAGGACTCGACCTGGCGGATCAGGGGAAGGAGCCGCCCCCATTACCCCGCTGCTGCTGCCACTGTGGCTTTGTCTAGAGCAGTGGTTCTCAACCTTGGGTGCACATTAGAATCACTTGGGAATCTTGTTAAAATCCTGATTTCTGGGCCTCATGAAGGATGTCCGGATGGTCACCTGGAAGACGTCTGCTCTAATTAGCATATTACCCTTTTATTAGTATAGGTATATTTATATATATAACAGATTTGAAAAAGAACTAAATAAAAATTTTAAATTTTAAAAGTGAAAAATACAGTAATTACAGTTAAGAATTCTGTAAATGGCACATAAGATAAAGCTGAAAAGAGAATCAATAAACTGGAAGATGAGTCTGAAAAGACTATCCATATTGTAACACAGACAACAAAAAGATAAAAAAATATAGAGAATAAGGCAAGAGATAAGAGAAGATATACTAGTATTGAGAATGTTTAATGTGTGTAGTTGCACCCAAAAGGATGGTGTAAAGGAGACATTGGGACCAAATCAATACTTGGAGACTAAGAAAAAACTCTTAAAAGACCTCAGAGAAACAAAAGGCACGTTTTCTATATAGCACTGAGAGTTAAACTGCCAAATAACTTCTCAACAGCAACAATGGAACCAGAAGACATTGGAATAATATTGTGTTAAAAGAATATAAGCCATTTACTAAAATTCTCTAACCAAATTAAACAGATATTTTTCATTAAATATTGAGTTTGCTACCAGCAGACCCCCTCTAATGGATGTTCTTTAGGCACAAGGAAAATAATCCAGATGGAAGGAGGAATGAAGAATAACAAAAGTGAAAATAATATGTATAGACTCTGATTTGTAGGTGATTGCAGGGGCACTCAAGAAGTTAAGAGATTTCTGAGATGACGGGAGCCCTAAGAACTCTAGATACTGACCAAAGTCCCTTCCAAGGCAAAAGCCTTTGTTCAGGAAAAAATTACTGGTAGTAGAGTCCATATTGAGCAGAACAAGGGCATTAAAGATAAATAAATTTTCAGATAACTAATTGTAGGTGAAGGAAATAGAGGAACCAGATCTCAGAATGTGCTCAAGATTCACACCCATACACACGAATCTACATATATGCATACTTTGTGGTAACCATGAAGCATGAGCTTAGAGCCATGAAGCTAAGAAAACTGTCCTGGCATACAGGATTGTTCTTACATAGCAGCAAGAGAGACCATCACATTTAAACATGAAGAACAGAAGAAGCTTGTTGATGGAAGCTCTTACAAAGGTATTAGAGGGGGGGAAAACATATTGTTACAACATTTCTACAGTGAAGATGTACCCACAAAATCTGAACACTGTATTCATCCTAAAAAGCTTCTAGAAATGTAGCTTAGAAGTACCAGGAAAAGAACAAAATGCATGTGCAAGCTATTCATTGCAGTACTATTTGCAGTAGCAACGGATTAGAAATAATGCATACGTGTACAGGTATTAATTAAATAAATGGTACATTTTCAATAGCATACTAAGCAGCTATTAAAAAGAATGAAAGAAGCTTTAGATATGCTGCTATAGTGACATCCAGGATATATTATTGAGTGAAACAGAAAAGGAAGAGAACATTTTTTTGTAATAGGCTACTTTTTAATTAAGTAAGAAGGATATATAAAATCCATGATTGGCCAAACATAGATTTACAGTTGTGAGTACATGAAATCAGAGTAAGGAAAATCCATACCATGAAGAATAAACTTAAACTAGTGAAAATGTTTAATTGGAGGAGGGATGGAACAAAGCAGAGGAGGTAGGATTATCAACTAGATTTCTCTGAATGTTCTTTGTTTTATACTTTTAACTGAGCCAAATAAATGTTTTACATGTCTCTTAAAAAAATTTTAAAATGTTATAAAAGCCAATCAAAGCTGAAGTGAAACAAATGAACTCACTGTATACCAAGTTAGTGCTTTAACCAGTCAGAGAAGAATTATTTTAAGTGATAGAAACTTAGTAAATTGATTGTTACAGCCCTATAGATTCATATCCTAAATTCAGAAAGAACTGCCAAAAAATCTTAAACTGCATTTAGTAGTCATATTGTTATGAATGATATTGCTGTTTTTATTTTGAACACATCAGATAATACAATAAAACAAATAAGTAGTAATTATATTAAGAATGAAGTATTCCTAATTATGCCAAGCAATGAAGTTAAGTAACGCTCTATAATAATATAGGAATTGTATCAAAAAGATACCAGAACCAACTTGAAGAGTTTCCTATTGGACAGAGATGTGTCAGTTTAACTATGCCAAAGGATGACTGCAATGGATTGAAACATGAAATATGTTAAAAATCTATGAATTCATAAAAGTACTAGTCATCTTTGGAGAATGCTAATGCATGAAGTCATTATTCTGAAAACTGATTTTTAAAAACAAAGTATTGTCTTGCCTTTCCAGTACAAATTATATATCAGGGTAATGAAAGAATATGACTGTCATCATTTTGTAGCTCCTAATAAAATAGTGAATCTAGGCAGTGATCCTCATCAGTGACTGCTAAAATCATTAGAAGATCAATGAGGAATTTTATAATGGATAGATTAAGTTGATGAAACTTGATGAACCAACAAATCAATTGTAATACCACAAGAAGAAAGATAACCAGACATTTTTAGCTTCCTGATTGAAACAAATACACAGTACCATAAATAAATATTCAGGTTAAAAATTATACCTGAATCCGATCAAGCTATTAGATCATTTTAATAGGAAATTCTAAAGCTATATGAATGTGTTAAATGATATCAGAGGGATGCAGAAATTAAAATCTAAAATGGAAATGTTGTCTATGGCTAGGTAGATTATTTTGTTAGAGCTTAGTTCCAACACACCAACGTTGTGGGTTCAATTCCTGGTCAGGGCACATACAAGAATCAACCAGTGAATGCACAAATAAGTGGAACAACAAATCAGCATCTCTATCAAATCAATTTTAAAAATGGAAATTTTTACAAGCTAACTAATATGGTTTCTTCTGTAAGTATCTGGCAGATGTGGGAGTTGGCAGAATATGGGAAGAGGCATTTGACAAAGAAAATTGAGAGATGTGTCAACCAAATGCAATGTAGAGCTTTTGGTTGGATACTGATTTCAATAAACAGTTGTAAAAAGATGTCACACTGGGAAATTTTAACACTTGATTAAATATTTTATGACATTAAGGAAGAATCCTTTTATAGCTACATGCTAAAGTATTTAGAGATAAATAAGATTTTTAATTTTATCTAAATTCTGTTGGGGTGAGAATTGTTTTTCAATTAATTAATTTTTTATTTAAATTTTTTATTTTATATTATGATTATATTATGTATTAAATATTACTTCTGATTTTTAATGTCTAGTGTTCTAATTTTTGTTGCTTTTTAAGTATTTTGTAATTATCATTAGTTAATATCTGGAGTGTTTTTTCATTTCCAAGTGCTTGGATTTATTTGTTTATATTTTTCTTAATGATTTTATTTCCCTCCAAACAGAGAGTAAGACCTTAGCAAATTGTGCTTTGTGCTATATTGATGTTTTCTTTGTATATTAACTTATAGTCCATCTTTGGAAATGCCCCTTGGAATCTTGGGAGGGAAAAGGTATATCTTTGTAGTCTATACGTATATTTTCAGTCATTCATCTACATTTGTTTCAGTGCTTTAATATTATTCATACTTTCTATTTTTACATACTTAGAGACATACAATTATGTTTCTGACAAATTTTCCTTTTATTTTTAAGTTTTGACTACATATTTTGATTGTTTAGGCATGTCACAATTCATGACCAGACCATTATCTATTTGTCTTCAATTTCTTCTTTTTTTTAACAGAGAATTCCCTTTTCTGTTTAATGCTTTGCATTGAATTCTGTGTTGTCTAACACTTAATATTACTATTCCTTCTCTCTTTATTTCTTGATATTGTGCCCTGTGGTTTTGTTTTTCACCTCTTTGTGAAAGAATGCTTTATATAAATAACATAGTTTATTTACTTTTTACTAAATCTAGTAGTATTTTTTATTTTATTAGGATCTACCTTTACTGAAAAGCTATTTACTATGTGCCAGGGACTATGTCAAGTAACTTTCTATATACAATTTCTTATTTACTCCTTAGAACAAATCCAAGAAGATGACCTTGTTACCACTATTTTAGTGATGAAGAAATTAAGGCCCAGAAAGGTTAAAAGAACTTACACAGGTTGATTTACTTACTATCTGATTGCTGTCAGACTATTTCTTTCTTAACACCTAGGCTGTAAGGCTAATGGGTGTACATAGCCCAGCCTGTAACCAAATTTCCATGGTATTTCTTTAACATGCCATGCCAGATTAAGGAGAGATCTGCTGCTGCTTGGGGAAGAGGACCATTTATTCCTCAATAAATTAAATCTGTAATTCTTCCATTACCAGAATAGTACATGAAAAACTGCAGTTTCAGTAGCTTCATGTCCCAGAACACAGAAAAATCATGTCCTGTCCACTTCTCCTCCTGTTACTAAGATTCATTTTCCCTGAGTAGATGTAGAAAGAAAGTCACTGATTGATGTACCCGTCTCAGAGGCTGGCGACCCTTCACCAGCTGCAGTAGAGAGCAGCTTCCTCACAGTGGCAAAGAGGCTTTTCTCCTGTCATCTAAGTCCAGGTGTCTGTCTCTGCAAGAGTGTGTGGAACGGGTGTGAATGAAAATCTGCTTCCTTCCTATTTGACTCTATGTCTTCTTTGTGGTCCTATCTACTGTTTGATTAGTGGAAATTCCTCTTGGGATGTGATAGTTCACAAATGCAGGTGTTCCCCATTTCCTATGTTGATAACAGCTTCCCAGATTTGTGTTTCATCAACATTTCAATGGGAATGTAAGGTTAAATAAATTAGTTTATAGTCTTTTATTGTCATTCTTAAGCAAGAACCCTTCAGAGCCATTAGACTTTCTGCTTTTAAAGAGCATGTATGTGAGGAGTAGGGGCATTAAGAGATAGATGAGGTGTGGCCTGGAACTTTTGCTAATAGTTTAACAATATATTTTCTTAAGATGTCTCATGAAGTTAATGACTGCCGAAAAATTGAAACCCTTGAAAATTTGGATCTGGATTTTGATGATGATGTCACAGAACTTGAAACTTTTGGAGTAACCACCACCAAACCATCAAAGTCCCCAAGTCCAGCAAGCACTTCCACAGTACCCAAAATGCCAGTTGCTCCCAGAGCCCCCAGTGCAGCATCCACACCTGTGGCACCAGCTGCACCAGCTGCACCAGCTGCACCAGCTGCACCAGTAGACATTTCTGCTCATGCTAGAAGTTTATCTCAGATTCTAATGGAACAATTGCAAAAGGAGAAACAGCTGGTGACTGGTATGGACGGTGGCCCTGAAGAATGTAAAAATAAAGGTGATCAGGGAGTTGTACTATGTGCTGAGAAGGTATCAGATAATTCTGACAAGCCTCTGGTGCAAGATGGTGACTTGCAAACATCTGATGAGTTACAGTTAGGAAGTTCTGTGGAAATGGAAACCTCTAATAAAAATGACATGGCTACTGATACAGTGTGTGCTGATGAAAGACTAAATATTCCAGAGAGTACTGACAATTCAAAGGAAGAGACTGTTACATCAGAAGCAGAGAAAACTGAGGATGTAATTCTTTGTCATAGTGATACAGATGAAGAATGTTTAATCATTGATACAGAGTGTCAAAAGAATAGTACCGTAAAGACAGCTGATGTGGGTTCTAACTTAAATTCTAAACCAGCCAGCCCAAATTCTTCTTCAGGACAGGCTTCTGTAGGAAACCAGACTAATACTACTTGTAGTCCTGAAGAGTCCTGTGTTTTAAAAAAACCTATCAAACGAGTATATAAAAAATTTGACCCAGTTGGGGAAATTTTAAAAATGCAAGATGAACTCTTAAAGCCAGTTTCCAGAAAAATACCTGAATTGCCTTTAATGAATACAGAAAATTCTAAACAACCTCCTGTTTCCGAGCAACCCTCTGCTCCTTCAGATGCCACTACTTGGCCAAAAACTGCATGGACCTCTGCATTTCAGAAGCCAAAAGGACGTGAGTAAATATTTACAAAAAACTTTATATTTATACTCTTTGCCTGTATCTTGTCCTTCAGTTCTTCTCCTTTGTATTAACCTGTTTAAAATCTTTATATAGTCATTGATATTTCACTTCATTTTTAATCTACTTATCAGTATTTTAACTTCCAAACCTTCTTTCTAAATATGTACCCCAAGATGTATAGATTTTGTACCCTATGTTTATCTAACATGTGCAGTGGCTACTAAGCTATAGGCAGTGTAGTTTGCCAAACTGAAGGGGAACTGCATAAAAATGATAAACATTTATTAATCCAAAATGTATTTCTTCTTGGTATTGAACTGTAATTTTGTACTTTTATATTTTGTGAAGTTGATATAAAGCTGCACTTCAGCTCTGCCTAGATTAGGAATAACATTTTTCTAAACTCTTCTTCTCACTTCATATGTTGTCTCACTAATTTATACTTTGCCTAGGGATAAAGTAGTAGTTAAAAGAAAGAAAACTGTAAAGCTTCGATTTCAGGTTTTGCTGCAGTTCCAATAAACATAAACAGAAGTGATAATAGCGTAAAGATGTACTCAGAGGAAATGTAAAGTTAAATTTGATAGAAATTTAAAAATACATCACTGAATTGTTTTATCTCAGATTATGATGAATAACCGACTAATGTCTTTTAAAATAAAAATGAGAAATATAATTATTTTTAAAGGATTGCCATATGAACTTCAGGACTATGTTGAAGATACATCAGAATATGTAGTTCCTCAGGAAGGAAATTTTGTTTACAAGTTATTTAGCCTGCAAGACCTGCTGTTACTTGTACGATGCAGTGTCCAGAGGATAGAGACCAGACCACGTTATAAAAAACGGAAGAAAATCAGAAGAGTAAGTTGTTACTTGTGGAGTTGGGATGTAGTAGCCCACATAGTAGTAAATAATCTTCAAATATCTAACATGGCATTGTTGTGAAGTTTAATTTTAAGTTGTTGACCACTCTTATAGTAGTTTTTCCAGGTTGAATTTTTAGTAAAATACTGAAAACATTTTTAATAAGGGAAAGTACTTAATTAAATATAATTAGTCATGAATGCTGATAGCATTCTTGCATGAAATGTATAAACTTTGTGAATAATGGCCCCATCATAGATTTGACTGAGACTGGCACATATGTTCCTGCTTTCTCTGTGAATTTGGATTTCCATTATGAAATACTATAGGCCCAGTGCACGAAATTCATGTGCGGGTAGGGTCCCTAGACCTGGCCAGCAATCAGGGCCAATTGGGGCCTTCTGGTTGCCAGCCAGGGCCTTCCTTCTGGCTGCCAGGTGGGGCCTCCCTTCCCCAGTTACCAGCGCCTTCCTTTGTTCCACGCCGCCCCCTGATGGTCAGCGCACGTCATAGTGAGCGATCGAATTCCCAGTCTCTCAGTGGAACT